CTTTGCAGCTTCAGCGAAAAGCTCCTCTAGCTGAGCAAACGTCTTTAAACAATGCTTTACCCACAAACTCTTATTGTAATGGCGTCAGGTTATTGTAATGGCGTCACACGATGGAGCTGGCTACGTGCCATGGTATGGAGGTCTTGAGGTGAAGTGTCCACGGTAGTTTTTTCACAATGTCCATTGTGCGTATAATAATGTGTCATCTCATAATATGTATAATGCGTAATGTGCCATCTCATTACTTCCGGACTATAGTATAAAAAATCTTACAAGCTGCAAGCCGGATGGTATATAAAGCAACAACATGATCACGATAATAGTTCGAATGTGTAGTGGTGAATACACAAGGATGTAGTAACGATAGCAGAATGAGAAGAGCAAAATGTACAGTATATTAGTATTACAATGCAACCATATGCTAGTCCTTGAAAAGTGTGCATTATGCGTCTTCTGCAAAAGTTCGAGACTAACAGAAAATTGCAGCCCATTGCTCCCATCCGACAGCAAGGTCCATGCCATATAATGAACATTGTTGAACCATCTACCACGAGTCTATACATCGTTTACATCTGTTGAGGAGCAATTCAATTTCATACCTCTGGTTAATAGTCAGGACGGAAATGCAGGCAAGGAGATCGAAGACCGAAAAATTGAGAATAAGCAGGGAGTATTTTCTTAATACTTTTGGTGTTTTCGTGATAACCAGGACAATCAAAATAGCGTTGAAGACGGTTCCACATGCGTTCAGTGTCACATTTAGTGGAAATCTGATGGCTTCCAAGAAATCCATTGTTGATAGGAACTGCAGTTCAGAGAATGGGACGCTAGATGTGCAAAACAGGAAAAATCGACTTTTTGTGATTCTCCATCTAAACGCAGACATCATTTCAGCGCAACGGAGTTTTATATCTAAACACAAACGAACAAATCTATCACGAAAAATCTAGGCATGAAAATACATTGCAGCAACATCGAAGTCGTGGGAAAACAAAACCTTTCCTCAAACTCTAGCTTCTAAACAAAAATGCCGCCTTCTAAGCCCTGGGCATACCTCACGCGATTTCTGTCGCGACGCGATTTGGCAATACTCCAGTTGTTCATAACT